ATGTAAATAAGTGTGAAGTCATACATTTTGGTAGGAGTAATAGTAAAAAGGATTATTACTTGAATGGTAAAAAGTTGCAGCATGCTGCTATGCAGAGAGACCTGGGTGTCCTGGTGCATGAATCACAGAAGGTAGGTCTGCAGGTACAACAAGTAATTAGGAAGGCAAATGGAATTTTGTCCTTCATTGCTAAAGGGATTGAAATTAAAAGCAGAGAGGTTATGTTGCAGCTGTACAAGGTGCTGGTGAGGCCACACCTGGAGTACTGTGTGCAGTTTTGGTCTCCTTACTTGAGAAAGGATGTATTGGCACTGGAGGGGGGCAAAGGAGGTTCACTAGGTTGATTCCGGAGTTGAGGGGGTTGGCTTATGAGGAGAGACTGAGTAGATTGGGATTATATTCATTGGAATTCAGAAGATTGAGGGGGGATCTTATAGAAATATATAAAATTATGAAGGGAATAGATAAGATAGAAGTAGAGAGGATGTTTCCACTGGCAGGTGAAGCTGGGACAAGAGGGCATCGCCTCAAGATTAGAGGGAGCAGATTTAGGACTGAACTGAGAAGGAATTTCTTCACCCAGAGGGTTGTTAATCTATGGAATTCCTTGCCCAGTGAAGTAGTTGACACTACTTCAGTAAATGTTTTTAAAAAAAAGGTAGATTTTTTTTGAACAATAAAGGAATTAAGGGATACGGTGAGAACGCGGGTAAGTGGATCTGAGTCCACGAAAGGATCAGCCATGATCTTATTGAATGACGGAGCAGGCTCGAAGGGCCAGACGGCCTACTCCTGCTCCTAGTTCTTATGTTCTTATGTGAGGAGAAGCCTTCTTCACCACCCTGTCTACCTATAACTCCACTTTCAAGGAACTGTGCACCTGTACCCCTAGGTTTCTTTGTTCAGCAACACTCCCCACAGCCCTACCATTAACTGTATACGTCCTGCCCTGGTTTGCCTTATCAAAATGCAACATCTCACACTTATCTAAACTCCATCTGCCACTCCATCTGCCACTCCTCAGCCCATTGACCCATCTGATCAAGGTCCCGTTGTAGCCTGAGGAAACCTTCTTTCTTCACTGCCCACTACTCCACCTATTTTGGTGTCATCTGCAAACTTACTAACCATACTGCCTATATTCACATGCAAATTATTTATATAAATGACGAAAAGCAGAGGACCCAGCACCAATCGTTGTGGTACACCACTGCTCACAGGCCTCCAGTCCAGAAAACAACCCTCTACCACCACCCTTTGTCTTCTACCTTCAAGACAATTTTGTATCCAATTAGCTAGCTCCCCCTGGATCCCATGTGACCTAACCTTACTAACCAGTCTACCAAGATGAATCTTGTCAAACACTTTGCTGAAGTCTATATAGACAATGTCTACCGCTGTACCTTCTTTGATCTTCTTTGTCATTTCAAAGAACTCCGTCAAGTTAGTGAGATGTGATTTCCTGTGCACAAAGCCATGTTGACTATCCCTAATCGATCCATGCCTTTCAAAATGCATGTAAATCCTATTCCTCAGAATCCCTTCCAACAATTCACCTGCCACTAATGTTAAGCTCATTGGTCTGTAGTTCCCTTGCTTTTCCTTACAGCCTTTCTTAAATTATGACACCACATTAGCCAGCTATGGTCCAATCAGTGCCTTGTGTAGTTTTAGTAAGACTTCCCTATTTTTATGTTCCATTTCCTTTGCAGGAAAGATCAACAGTCATTTGCCTTCCCTAATACCTGCTGAATTAGGATATTAGCTGATCCGTTCATGGGCATCCCCAAATAAATAATATTTAGCTCTTCTATTTTTCCTTCCAAAGTGCATAACCTCACATTTTCCCACATTATATTCCATGTGCCTAGTTTCTGCTCACTCACTCAACCTTTCTATACTGTATTCCTCTGTAGACTCTTTGTGTCATTCTCACTATTTACCTTCCCACTTATTTTTGTCTCATGGTCATTCAAAATCTGTCCCTGTACGAAATAAACTCCCTTTTGAGCAAGATGGCTAACTGCAGATCGCGTCTTCACACTGAGCTTTCAAAATACTTGATCCTCATCTCGTACAAATTGCTGAAACATGCACAAGTCATCATCTGTGAACTCCCAGACTGGCCAGTAAGACAGTACCAGTTTGCACCATTGTATCATATAAATACATCATTGTGCATTCTCAGCTGAAATAATTTGCAAAATAGAATTTGTTGAGGTTGGTTGGCTCGCCGAGCTGGTTTCTTGTTTCACAGGCTTGGTAATGTCCTCAGTGCAGCCTCCGATGAAGCGTCAGTGTGTTTTCCCGCCTGGTTTTTACACTCTGGGGTCCGTTGAGATGGATTGCCTCACTTCCGGTTTTCCTTCGTAGTGGAATGTATATGGGGTTGAGTTCAATGTGTTTATTAATAGCATGCTTCGTGGAGTGCCATGCTTCCAGGAACCAACACACTCTGATTCTACAGCCTCCCTAAAGTGCACAAGCCGGAAGTCCCCCTCAGACCCATAGTCTCCCTACCAGGCACTCCATCGCACAGATTAGCCAAAGAACTACAAAGAAGACTTGGGCACCTAGTCAACAAGTCACCCCACTCTATCGACTCAGCCCAAGAATTCCTCAACTCCATCAAAGACATAAAGATAGAGAACGAAGAGACCATAATATCATTTGATGTCACTGCCCTGTTCACATCAATAGACATACCACTAGCAAGGGAAACAATGACAACACTACTAGAACAAGAGCATGACCCCAGTGAAACCATCTCCAAGAACAACAAGTTCAAACTATTGGACCTATGCCTCACCACCCACTTCACTTTCAACGGCCAAACATACGAGCAAATCAATGGGACACCCATGGGATCACCTATCTCCGGACTCATAGCAGAAGCAGTGATGCAAAGACTAGAAAGGACTGCTCTTCTGCAAATCTAACCAAAACACTATGTAGACGACACCTTTGTCATCGTTAAACGGACCAAATTAGAGGAGACACACAAACTTATAAAGAACGCCCTCACCGGAATAAAATTCACCAGAGAGGAGGAGAGGAACAAACAGCTCCCGTTCCTGGACGTCATGGTAGAACGCAAGACAAATGGGGAACTGCAAATGAAAGTACACCGAAAAACCACACAGAGACCAGGTACTGAACTTCAATAGTAACCATCCCAGCACACACAAACGAAGCTGCATGCGAACACTATTTAAAAGGGGAACAACACACAGCAGCAACATGGCACTACGCCAAGAGGAAGAAGAATACCTCTTCCAGGTTTTCAAGGATAATGGGTGTCAAAAGATGCCTACACGAACAGCATCAGAAAGAGACTACACACCCTGACACACTCATCACACTACCCTATATCAGGAACACGTCGGAACTCCCCACAAGACTCCTACGACTGCTGGGCATCAGACTGGCATGCAAGCCCACATCAACCCTACGACAGCTGCTCACCCGAACTAAAGACCCACTCCCCGCCATGGACAGGACCAATGTCATCTACACGATCCCCTGCAGAGGCTGCGAGAAACACTGCATCGGACAAACAGGAAGGAAACTAACAGCAAGAGTACATGAACACCAACTGGCTACAAAAAGACACGACCAATACTCTCTCATCTCAATCCATGTGGACAAGGAGAACCACCACTTCGACTGGGACAACACCAAGATCTTGGGACAGGCTATACAGAGACAGGCACGAGAATTCCTAGAAGCATGGCACTCCACGAAGCATGCTATTATAAACACATTGAACTCAACCCCATATACATTCCACTACGAAGGAAAACTGGAAGTGAAGCAATCCATCTCAACGGACCCCAGAGTTTAAAAATCAGGTGGGAAAACACACCGACGCTTCATCGGAAGCTGCACTGAGGCATGGTAACAAAACGTCTGCGAAACAAGAAACCAGCTCGGCAAGTCAAACAACCTCAACATCCACAACCTGAACTACAAATCTACTCCAAAACTTTAAATAGAATATATCTCTAAATATAGCATGGAGGCTAACATATTATCCCTGTACGGTGCAATAAATTACTTTTTTTTACCTCTTTAAAAAGAATCTCATCTATATTTTTAAATTGGTCAGGCAGGAGTTAGATGGTGGAAGGAGCTGCAAAGTCCCTGCACCTACCAGTATCTGGCAGTAGATGGAGGGCATCAGTAAAGTTCAAAACCAGTTGAGAAGGTACCAGCTTCATAGCAAATGCCCCATGCAAAAGCCAAAGGTGAGGGCATGGGGAGGAAGCAAGACCAGGCAGGGGTGGGGAGGTTGGCACACTGGGAGGTGAGGCCACACTGGTGGGAGGGAATGACATTAAACCAGAACTGTAAATCTAATGCAAACAAGTGCTGTTGAAGCACAATTAAGTGGGACACTTAAAGCAAGGACTTCCTGTTTTCAATCAGTCCTGAATCCAAAATTGGCTTTAACTGATGGGCTGCCTTTATCATTTGATTTTGATTCTAGTTTGAATGACATCCCTCCGTATCCCAGCTGATATTCTTTAACAAAAAGAAAGAAAGGAATTGTACTTGACTGTCTCATTCTTTTAAAGTCACTGAAGACAGCTTGTTGGATCTGTTGTAAGGTTTCTGCCTGCATAAAATGTTACGTGGTCTGCCTCCTGAGTAGGTGGTGTTGGTGATCTTCCTTCTTGAATCACTGCAGCGGATCCTGGGGTATTGGAACTACCTCTCAAACAGCACTGTGAAAACTTGAATTGCAGTAGTTTGAGAAGACGCACCCCCTTCCTATTTTCGCATTGAGATTTTACAGGGTCCTTATACACGGTAATCTGATGTAAGTTAGTGGGGTCTATGAATATGGTAATCTGATGTAGGTTTACAACATCTGTGCGTGCTATAATCCGATGCAGTTTTACAGGGTCATGTGCACGGTAATCTACGTTTTTATCCTAAGGGTTTGAATTTTGTTTGTGTAATTACTATTCTTATGCATTTAATTGTTTTTCTTTCAGGTGCAGACTGTCTGCTGGCATCCATTCGAAGCACAGACGCTTCTCTCAGGATCATTTGACAAGTGAGAGTTTGGCATCTGCTTCATTTTCCTAAATTGTACCCTTGCCTCTGTAGACTGGATTATGTCTAATGCACCAAGATAAGCACCACCTCATGTTTGCAGTCTCATTCGCACGTTTCATGGCACAAAGAATCTCTACCTCTGTAACTTCCTCCAGACCAATACTGGTTGTATGGTATAATATATACCATATGTTGTCTGTATGGTGTATTATAGACCCGCCTATCCTGGGGTAGGGGTGATGATCCGAACTGGCCTGTCCCGGGGGTGGGGGGGGATCTGACCTATGGCAGATGGTGATGTTTGAATTTGGTAAAGTCTTGAATTCAAAGCTGGCTAAATGACCAAAGCGTAAACACCCTTTGTTTTCAAGAAATGCCATCTGATTCAGAATTAAATCTATCATCCTTGTATGTGGTTGATTATCCTGCAAAATGGGAGAACAAACCCACTAGGGATGGGCAATGCTGGCTTAGCCAGTGTTGCTCAAATCCCATGAATTAATTTTTAAAATGATGTAACTTTTTCTGGGGGTCATAATAATTGTCTACTCATTTCTCACTCCCCCACGTGGCCCACAGAGAGGTGTATGGTGTTGGTAGCTGAGAGCTGCACTTTGGTGTGAATCAGTTGTGATCTGAATGGTCTTGGGTATCTCTGAGAGTATCAGGCTGACTGATATCACGTGAAGCCAAGACTGAAACTTTCCTTCAATCTGATGGTATTGACTGTAACATCTTGGATACCTACAGGTCAGCCAGACTGTATGACTGCCGGAATCCAAAGGAGAACTGTCGCACTTGGAGATTCAGTGGGGAGGTTGAACGCGTGAAGTGGAATCATTTTTCACCATGTAACTTCCTGGTGAGTTTTATTCTGGGTACAGGCTGGGTCATTGGTGATAGAGAATAGAGAATAGAAACCCTAATTCAATCCAACTGATTTATAGAGTCATACACGTGTACAGCATTGAAACAGATTCTTTGGTCCAACTCATCCACGCCGACCAGATATCCTAAATAAATCTAGTCCCATTTTCAGCATTTGGCCCAAATTCCTCTAAACGCTTCCTATTCATATACCTATCCAGATGCCTTTTAAATGTTGTAATTGTACCAGCCTCCAGCACTTCCTCTGGCAGCTCATTCCATGCAAACAACGCCCTCTGCTTGAAAAAGTTGCCCCGTAGGTCCCTTTTAAATCGTTCCCCTCTCACCTTAAACCTATGCCATCTAGTTTTAGAATCCTCTGTCCTGGGAAAAAGACCTTGGTTATTCACCCTGTCCATGACTTCCATGATTTTATAAACCTCTATAAGGTCACCCCTCAGCCTCCGATGCTTCAGGGGAAAAAGCCCCAGCCTATACAGCCTCTTCCTATAGCTGAAACCCTCCAACCCCAGCAACAACCTTGGAAATCTTTTCTGAACCCTTTCAAGTTTAACAACATCTTTCCTATAGCAGGGAGACTAAAATTGAATGCAGAATTCCAAATGTGGTATAACCAATGTCCTGTGCAGCTGCAATATGACCTCCCAACTTCTACACTCCATGTACTGACCAATAAAGGCAAGCATACCAAATGCCGCCTTCACCATTCCTGTCTGCATGAGACTCCACTTTCGAAGAGCTATGATTTGATGTACTGCCCCCACCTGGATACAGATGAGTAAAGGTGTAGCTAGACTGCAGACTATGACTCCTTGGAGCAGGAAGAGGAGGAGGGAAATATCATCTGATATTGTAGGGGATGTAGTGACGAGCAGGACAGACAGCATCCTGTGTTAGCAGGATTGAGAGGCCCATGTGGTTTGCTGCTTTCGTGGTGCTAGGGTGAAGGATAGTGGAGGGGATTGTAATCCCTGTGGAGACTGGCTGACAACAGTAGAGGAGGGTGGAAGCAATCTGGTTTGGAGAGTATTGGGAATCACCTGCTGAATCACAAGACAGGGTGAAACCTCGACAAATCAGCTGCAGCCTTTTAACCAGGCAACTAAAGTAGTGAACAGGGGAATGCCTGGGGGTGTTATTCATTTGGACTTCTTGTAGGCATTTGATAAATTCCCTCGAGACTGTTCTCGAAAGCTGAAGATCACGGAATTAAAGACAATTTTGTCTGGGTTTAGCAGTTGATTGAGTGACAGGAAAGGAGAGTCAGGATAATATCTTGCAATGTTCCCTCTAATTCAGCAGGTGATTCCCAATACTCTCCAAACCAGATTGCTTCCACCCTCCTCTACTGTTGTCAGCCAGTCTCCACAGGGATTACAATCCCCTCCACTATCCTTCACCCTAGCACCACGAAAGCAGCAAACCACATGGGCCTCTCAATCCTGCTAACACAGGATGCTGTCTGTCCTGCTCGTCACTACATCCCCTACAATATCAGATGATATTTCCCTCCTCCTCTTCCTGCTCCAAGGAGTCATAGTCTGCAGTCTAGCTACACCTTTACTCATCTGTATCCAGGTGGGGGCAGTACATCAAATCATAGCTCTTCGAAAGTGGAGTCTCATGCAGACAGGAATGGTGAAGGCGGCATTTGGTATGCTTGCCTTTATTGGTCAGTACATGGAGTGTAGAAGTTGGGAGGTCATATTGCAGCTGCACAGGACATTGGTTATACCACATTTGGAATTCTGCATTCAATTTTAGTCTCCCTGCTATAGGAAAGATGTTGTTAAACTTGAAAGGGTTCAGAAAAGATTTCCAAGGTTGTTGCTGGGGTTGGAGGGTTTCAGCTATAGGAAGAGGCTGTATAGGCTGGGGCTTTTTCCCCTGAAGCATCGGAGGCTGAGGGGTGACCTTATAGAGGTTTATAAAATCATGGAAGTCATGGACAGGGTGAATAACCAAGGTCTTTTTCCCAGGACAGAGGATTCTAAAACTAGATGGCATAGGTTTAAGGTGAGAGGGGAACGATTTAAAAGGGACCTACGGGGCAACTTTTTCAAGCAGAGGGCGTTGTTTGCATGGAATGAGCTGCCAGAGGAAGTGCTGGAGGCTGGTACAATTACAACATTTAAAAGGCATCTGGATAGGTATATGAATAGGAAGCGTTTAGAGGAATTTGGGCCAAATGCTGAAAATGGGACTAGATTTATTTAGGATATCTGGTCGGCGTGGATGAGTTGGACCAAAGAATCTGTTTCAATGCTCTTGGAATTTCCATGCACTCCAATCAGCATGCCGAGCATTGAAATCTGGTTTCGGAAGCTGCAGCTGGGCATGGACCTCGGGGAACATATATGTGCAGTCTCCTAACTTCTTGGGATGTGGCAAAGGCTTCGTGTAAGGAGCCTCAACTATTCAATGCATTGATGATTGAGATGGGGATGGAGAACCGCACATCCAGTTTTACCAGTACCATCAGGATAGAGACAGCAGCATGAGCAATGTACTTAGAAGCATAAAGTTGAGATATTGATAGGCCAAAATTATAACAAATGGATTTTGTTGTAGGCAGGTGTGGGCTATCCACTTTGGATTTCAAAGGAAAATACCGGGTGCTTTCTACATGGTGAGAGCGGAGGTCCAGAGAGATTTATGGGTCATGATTCAGCTGTACGCAATCCTGCTAGACCACAGCTGAGGTTCTACAAGTAGTTCTGGGCGTCACACTTTACAAAGTCTATATTTCCCTTTGATCAGCAAAATGTACATTCACTGGAATGATACCTCCATTCCAAAGACTGACTAACCAGGAGAGATCTCATACATTGTCGTTGTAGTCCCTGGAATCTAGAAACATTCAATGGTGAATTGATCAGAATATTCAAAATATTAAGAGGTACTGGCAGGGTAGATATAGCGAAACTATTTTCTACTGGTTCGGGAAATCTAAGGCTGGGGGCCATTGTCTAAAAATTAAACCTGGCCATTTGGAAGTACAATTAGGAAATGTTTCTACACAGAGATAGAAGTTTGCAACTTCTCTGCATACGGCACTTGCTGCCGGATCAATTGTTAATTTTAAACCTGAGATTGATCAATCCTTGTTATTGCAAAGGTATAAATGGATAAAAAGCAAAGGTGGATATATGGAGTTACGTCCCATATCAGTCATGATTTAACTGGATGGCAGAACAGGTTTGAAGGGCTGAACAACCTCTTGTGTTCCTGGCAAGATGACCCAGTTTCTGAGGGAGCACTGCTTTTGAAAGCAAGAGAGTTGTTGGGATTTTACAGCTCAGAGTTTGACAGTTTGGTTGCCGAGTTTGCTGATGAATTCCAGAAAGGAATATTTAAGAAATTTTGAGATAGTGGGAAGAAGGGTCCAGACCTGAAACGTCAGCCTTCCTGCTCCTCTGATGCTGCTTGGCCTGCTGTGTTCATCCAGCTCTACACCTTGGTATTTAAGAAATTTTAATCTCTTTTGATTGAAGGTTAACGCTAACTGTGGATCTTTCAGGCCAGCACAGAGGACGGTTTTGTGTACTGTTTGGATGCTCGTTCAGATAAACCACTTTTCACGCTGAAAGCTCATGATGGAGAAGTAACAGGTAAGAAACAATTTATTAACTAATCACAATTCAGAAACCACGCAATCTGTTTCTTTGCTCTATTGGCTCTGACTTCCAAACCGTGCGACAGAATTTGTTCTCAGCTGATTTCATCTTTTCACTGTTATTTTGACTAGATCATTTCAAACTTGAGTAAATGCAAGTTTTTTACTTGATAATGGTCTGTATCATTGAGTTCTTGAGTGGGGTTCTAAAGACTAATGGGAACAGTTTGGCGCAAGCCATCCAAATTAAATATCAGTACTTATCACTTTGGAGTGATTAGCTGTAGTAGAGTCTAATTATTAATCCAACATGTCCTAATCCAGATTGATTGATCCATATAAGACACGGGTGAGGCCACATATGGAGATATGTGTCCAGTTTTGGTCACCTCATTACAGGAAGGACATAATTGGTCCAGCGACAAGACAGGAGATTTACAAGGATGTTGCCAAAACGTGACTGCATCTGTGAGGAAAGATTTGATAAGGTAGAGTTGTTTTTCGTAGAACAGAGGAGGCTCGGGAGTGACTTAATTCAGATGTACGATGTAATAAGGGGCTTGGACACAATGGACAGGGAAAACCTGTTCTTCCTCTCAGCAGAGAGTTCATTTACCAGGGGCCACAGAGTTAAGATGATTGATAGAAGGATTAGAGAGGACATGAAAATCTGTTTCATGCAGGAGGTAGTGGCTGTGTGGAATTCATAATCTAATTTAATTCAAGCAGAAATCTCAACTTATTTAAAAACATCCTGAATCTGCACCTGAAGTACACAAAACCCTAAGAAATAGGAACAGGAGTAGGCCATTTGGCCCCTCAAGCCTGCTCAACCATTCAATAGGATCATGGCTGATCTGATGTTTCTCCTGCCTACTTTCCTGCCCTTTCCCTGTAACCCTTGATTTCCCCATCTGTAACTGTCCACCATCTACAAAATGCAGGTCAGCTGCAACTGCATACCAGAAACTGGATGTCATCCAGGACAAAGGAGCCCGCTTGATGGGCTGCACAGCCTCAAATATTCACTCACTCGACTGCCAATGTTCAGTACAGCAGTCTGTACAATCTACATAATGCACTGTAGAAATTCACCAAGACTCCTTAGATAGCATCTTCTAAACGTTGGGCTACTACTGTTTAGAAGGATGGGGGCAGCACGTACAGGGGAACACCACCACATGTAAAGTCCCCTCCAAGTCTCTCACTATTCTGACTCAGTAATATACTAACATTTCTTCAGTGATGCTGGGTCAAAATCCTGGAACTTCCTCCTTAACCACATTGTGGGAGTACTGACAGCAAAGGCATTGCAGCGGGTCAAGAAGGCAGCTTTTCCCAAAGCTCTTCTCAATCTTATCAATAGCAAGCAGCACCTACGCCCCTGAATGGAGCAAAAGAAGACCTCCATTAAATTTTCCTCCCTTCCTTCAGTCTTCTCTATTGTGAACAACTTTGAAGTCAGAGTCACTGTTGCATAGCTGAATCTAGTCACGAATTTGAGCCCTGTAATTCAAAGAACGAGCAACGACTGATGTTATCACGATAAGTTGTTTAAGACACTGGAGCAGCTCATTCTTCTGGCTTCTGTGCAATTTTACACCACTAACCCGTGTCACAAACGGATTCAGAAGGGGAGGGGTGGTTAAAGTCCCATCTAATGCTTCAGACAGTGCAGCATTCCTGCTAACAGAACAGTGTTATTAATATTGTAGTACAATGTCAGCCCAGGCCAGTCCTCTCAATATGATGTGTGTGGCTAAGATTTGAGAGGGTGCCCTTGTCCCACAGCATGTTAAAGTGTATGTTTTTGACTTGGCACCTCACGACCACAATCTGCTGCAGGCACAGATTTACACGTGTATAGAGCAAAGAAGTGTGATGGAAGTCAGTAAAATTTAGGAAATTGTAACCATACACATATTGTGCTAGGTTTGGTGCAGACTCTCTTATACAACAGGGTGTTGTCAGTGCCAGTCATGGTGCTGTGCCCATTGGCAAAACCGATCTGGAGCTAAGGTGCCACAGTAAAAAAAAAACAACATAGAAGAACAGTGACCAAATATCTTCAAATTCTTGACTAAATTTCCTGCTCAGGCACTTAAGCTGTAGCCTGGCAGAGACCCTGGTATTAATGGACGTTTAGTTTATGTGAACAGGATTGGCATCCAGCCCTGGCCATGGCCCTATACCCAACTCTGGGTACCCAACTGTAGGCTTTGCCAAGTTATTGTTACTGTGCGTCATCCGATGGGATCTGATGAGGTAGGCAAGATTTTATGATGTTAGAGTCTCTATTCAATTCTGATTGGTAAAGCATGTGTTTGAATTTTCCTTTAGGTAGCAATCCTCTATCTGTATTTGTATGAGTTACTGTTGCTTTGCAAATTGTGCTCCATGTCCCCTCTGGAGGTCAGGCAGGTAAATGAAGTTAAGGTGCAGAACAGCCATGTTCAGACTGAATAGGCCTGTTCTTGTGTACTTAATTTCCCTCTCTGTATTCCGAAGAGTTACTCCAAGACCTGATTGCTGGCAACAGCATTTGATAAACCACCTTAGTTTCAAACTCGATTTGTTTCTTCAGGTTTGGAGCTCAGTAGCCAAATCCAAGGCTGCCTGGTAACATCGTCTTCTGATAAACACGTGAAGGTTTGGGACATTTTGGGGAATAAGCCCAGCTTGGTGCATTCCAGGGATATGAAAATGGTAAGTGACTGAAAAGCTGAGAGGAATAAGCTTGAAGGGAAGAACCAGCACAAAACCTTTGGTAATCTGGTCAATGTCTGAATGATAAAAGGAAGTGTCTGCAGCCGATTGATCTTCTGCAGTCCCCAGTACAATATAAATGCAGACTATTTTTCCCTTCTATAGAATGACCCCCTCACAGGTCAAAACTATCAACCTGTGTGGATGTTTTATGAGATAGCAAAAACTGCAGATGCTGGAGTCCGAGTCAATACGGTGTGGAGCTGGAGGAACACAACAGGTCAGGCAGCATTAGAGGAGCAGGAAAGTCGACATTTCAGGTTGGGATCCTTCATCAGGACTGATCCATCCTGATAAAGGGTTTAAACCAAAACGTTGACTTTCCTGCTCCTCTGCTACCTGACCTCCTGTGTTCCTCCAGCTCCACACTGTGTTGACTCTGAATTGGACGTTTCATGATGCACCTCTGTGGCCATCACTTCCTGAGATGGGGCTTGAACCCTGACCTTCTAGAACACCTGCCCTAATCTTTCCCCAGTTAGTATCAGTTGTTCTTAGTCACAAATAGAGGATGCACATATACACACTTGTTTCGCACATTGGCATCCTTCATAGCAGTTCGAATGTTGACAGTGCCTGTTGTTCGAGTGCGTTAACTGAGTGTCAGTGTGTTGCTGCAGCTATAGATTAAAAGCTGTTAATCAGTTGGTGAACTGTATATTTATTTTGCAGCTTGTTTTCTTGATGGAGGGGGTTATTTCAAACTTTACAGTTTGATATTAGTGTGTCTCTCAGTCCCAGTACAATAAGATCCCAGTCTCTGCTCCTGGTGCAACTTGTAATGATGGTGAGACAGCAAACACTGCTCTGGCGAGGTTCAGAGATAGTGCTGGGCAAGTGCTGAGTGAGAGAGAGCTTGGGGGCATGTGAGGATACTTTTGAGTTATTGAACTAACTTGCACTGTAGTTTCAATCCTATGACATTGCCCCTTTCTGTTGCAGGGTGTGGTGTTTTGTGCAGCTTGTTGTCCAGACTCTCCATTTCTCTATTGTTTTGGAGGTCAGAAGGGAGGTCTGCGCATGTGGGACATCAGCAGCGTCTCTGCAGGTAATGGCTGGCACTGATCACCTCTGCTTTCTGAATACTAGCACCTCACTGGCATAAACTGAGCACGTTTGTGTAGCATGTTCTTGATCAAATAGACAAACATTTGAAGATCATTCCTGCAGTTGGGAGATGAGTGACAATGAGACGTTATTTTAATAGTCATTGAGTAATGAGTGAAGTTAAGAAAGGTGAAGGGTCATCGTGGCACTGAATCTTTTACCACAGGTAGTGATTGACACAGAAGTTGTTGTATCTTTGAAGGGAAATTTGTAAAATTATTTGAATTAGAGGAAGACGTGAGTGTGGGTAAATGGTGAGGTCACATTTCAGTTGTTCCAGCAGAGAGGCAGTGCAGACTCAATAGGCTGAATGGTCGTCTTTTACCTCATAAACTTTGGCTCAGTAGATCATTTTATTAAAAAGTAGCAAACTTTTAATCTTCCATGGGATATGGGTGTGCTGGTCTTATTGCCTGTCTCTACCAGCTCTTGAGAAGGAGGTTGTGAGCTGCTGCTATCATTGCAGTATAGGGATACCCACAATGTTGTTAAAACGTTCTGTGATTTTGACCAGTAACTGTGAAAAACAGTGATATGTTTCCAAGTCAGGATGATGTGTGGGACTTGGAAGGGAATTTGCAGGGATTGGTGCCTCTTAGAGTATACTTGGAGTGTAATATTTTTGGTAACAGATGAAGTAACGTCCTGCTGATGGGACTGGTGTTGGTATTTAAGAAGATAAAATGGTTTATAGGTCAGAGGACTCAGTAACCAGAGGATTTAAGGTAACCGGCACAAAAAAGGCGATAAATGGAAACTATTTTATTGGTGCAAGTTGTGACCAGGAACGTGTTGTCCAAAAGGGCATTGAAACAGGTTGAGTAGTAACTTTTCAATAAGGAATTTTATAAATACTCGTGAAGAAATATTACAGGGCTATGAAGAAAGAGCTAGGGTGTGGAGTTAAATGGATAATGCTGTCAAATAACTGGCACATGGGCTGAACAGCCTCCTGTGCTGAACCATTTGTTTATTGTGTGATATTGAAGGCAGTGCTTGTTCAGTTGACAGTGATTGGAAGGCTGTGTTACATTGTCAGTATTGTGTGTGAAGCTGTTTCTTCACAGTGTAATGTCTTTGAAAACTTTAGTGTTTCGGTTGCTGTGTGAGAGAGTTTGGACATTATTCAAGTAGAATTCCAGATTCACCAGAAGCTTAGATTTCAGGCATTGAACATTGAAACGCAGAGAGTAGCTGATGCTGCACACAGGTTCTGTGCTGAGGTGTTCATAGTAATTTGCATTGGAAGATGGTTGTATTTAAGTTAGCACAAAGGCTATCTTATCATATCCAATAGTTATATTTTCTGAAAATATCCGGCCTCGTTAGCCTTGGTTTAGTTGGCAACATTTCTGGCCTCTGAGAATCAAGGCTCTGTGTTCAGATCATTCTCAAGAATGGGCACTGTATAAGCATTTTCAGGTGGCAGGACATTCTGCTTTACTTCAATAAAAGCTAAATACTGTGGATGCTGAAATTCTGACCTTCAGCAGGTCTGGTAGCATCTGTATAGAGAGAAATAGAGTTCATGTTTCGAGACTGATATGACTTGTCCTTATAATTCTTTTCAGAGTTTTGTTTGTTGAGCTGAGTGGCTCTCCAGGCCATTTTAGAGGACGATTAAGTGTCAGTCACATTGCTGAGTGTCTGGAGTCATGTGTAGACCAGAGCAGGTAAAGATGGCAGATTTCCTTCCCTAAAGGACATTAATGCATCAGGTGATTCCTGCTCCTCTGATGCTGCTGGGCCTGCTGTATTCATCCAGCTCTACACCTTGTTATTTCATTAGAACTAGTTCCTTTTCACATAGAGATTTTAATGAATTCAAAATTCACCATCTGCCATGGTGGGATTTCAATCCTTGTCCTCAGAACATAAGCCTGGAGCTCTGGATTATTAGTCCAGTGACATTACCACTACACCACTGCCTCTCCTTTGTTTATAACATGGCCTGCCTTGAAGAATTTTTAGAACAGAATTGTGTGACCTTATCACACTGTTGCCCTATCCTATTTGCTCCTTTCTTTGCTCCTTTCTTTGCTTATAAGCCTTACTCTGATTTTGTGGAAAATGCACTGAAGTTCAGTCCCTCATTTCCTTGTTTGTGTTACTGTGTTGACTTTTAGTGAACACGGCCTTTGGATCTCGTGAAAGATTGCAGGTAGCTGCACCATGGAGGTCATCGGTTACTAGCTCTGTGACTAGCAGCACGACAGTGCAAATGGAGTCTTAGTCTGAAGAGCGCAGACACTTACAACCTCAGAGGACATCTCCTTACAACCTTCCAGTTCCTCTTGTCAATATGCATTGATTACATCGAGGAAAGACGATGCCAACTGATTCCTTTTAATGTCTTATTACGTTATATAAAATTACTGAGCAGGTATCCTGTCTCATTTGTGTAATAAAATTGAACATTGCTTATAGTTGTGCAAGTTAATGGTTTCACATTATTGGATCTAAATATAAGATGGTTGTGTGAGGACTTGTAACCATCAGTGCAAACAGAACTCAATTCACTGACCATTGATCTAAACCAGTTTGACATTGAGAGGGAATACAGTCAGGATTGGTTTAGAAACATGGTTAATACATTCATCACATCCACACCTTTATAATCAAATATTTTATTTTTTCTTCCTGAGCTTGCAGGGGGGCATGGGTAAAGTGAAGGCACCTGATCTTACCTAACGTTATAGTGCCAGCTATTGAATGAGCAGTCCACACAATACCATTGTGTCCTGCCTCTCTTTCTAACCCTGAGCATTTGTTATTTCCAGATAACTGATGACTTCCTTTTGAATGTCCTAATTAAACCAGCCTCCACAGCACACTCAAGCAGTGCATTTCAGATCCTCACCACTTGCTGCATGAAGTTTGTTCCTTCTATCATTTTCAATCCTTTACTAATTCGTTGATGAGAAATTTGCCAGGCTAAGAGGGGGCAGGGTAGGACTAATTGGAGAGTTCATTCAAAGACCCAGCACAGGCATAATGGACCATATGGCCTCCTGTATTTGTATCATTGGAGGAGACTGGGTCTGCATGAGTTTTGAAGAATGAAGGCTGACCTTATTGAAGCTTACAAAATTCTTACAGGATGAATATAGAGAAGCTGTTTGCCCTGGACAATGAGTCTAGAACCAGGGGGTATAATCTGAACATAAGGGTTAATCTATTTAAAACTGAAGTAAAGAATAATTGCTTCACGTTGGGTGATTAGAAATATCTACCATAGAGAGCTGTGGAGGCTCAGTTATTGAGCATGTCCAAGACAGCTGGATAGGTTTCTAGATAATAACAACATCAAGGGATATGTAGGTAGTGTGAAAAATGGTGTTTAGATGATCAACCACGATCTAATTGAAAGTCTGAACAGGCTTAATGGGCTGTATGACCTATTTCTGATTTTATGTTTCTGTTTCATCCACAAATTCCTCAGGCATATAACAAAACTACAGGAGGAGAAATCAAGAGCAATTGAATTGAACCACAGCAATAGGAGTAGGCCATTTAGCCTTTCAAGCCTGCCTTGCTGTTCATTACTATCATGGCTGGTCAAACACTTCAGTGCATTTTAACTACTTCATCCCTAAAACCGTTTGTGCCACTGGTAATCAGAAATCACTTAATCTTTGCCTTAAACATACTCAAAAGACTGTTTACAATCCTGATGGTAGGAAAGTCGAAAGATTCACAAGCCTCTGACAAAATAAATTCTGCTAATCTCTGATCCAAATGGCATCCCCCTTATGAAATTGTGCTCCTGGTTCTAGATTTCCCCAACAAGCTGAAATGTTTTACACTGTCTATCTCCTTATAGATGTTGTAAGTTTCAATGAGAGCACCTCTCATTCTTGGAGACTGAGCCTGGTTTGCTGTTGTGTGTGGTGTTATATGTATAATGGCAACAGAGCTGCTTTAACACTGTAAAACGTCCCAAAGAATCTCGGATATGTTATTGAACTAAACTTGACCTTGAGTGACATGGGGTACTGGTGTAGGTGACAGGAATGGGAAGGTATGGGGAAAGTTTTCAGAGCTTAGGATCCCGGCATCTGAATGTCTGCCTAGCAATAGAACAATTCAAATTAGGAAACTGAAGATGACATGATTAACTGATATTTTGACAGTTTGGACCATTGGAATTGATTACAGATGTGGGAGGGGAGGAGTTGGCAAAGCTACTTATAAATGATGTCATCAAGATGACAAATAAGAGGGAGTTAAGGATAGATCCTTGTGGATACCAGCAGTAATGGTGTAGGAATGGGAAGTGAAGCCATGCAGATGATTCTCTGGCCATGACTGGATAGATAAGAATGAGAACAGGTGAGTGAAATCCCAGCCACCTCTTCCACCAGTGACAAAGGAGTCTGTGAGTTCTTTGCACCTTGTTCACGGTGACGTAGAAACATTTAAAAAATGGCTTGCAGAAAATAAGCTAAGAGTTGTATTTGGATTGCAGGGTGATCCACGGGTAGCAGATTTGCACATAGTGTGTGTTTTATATATATAGGAAGGAGACAATGGGAACTCCAATGATATTTCACTGCAATGAGGACTGTAAATCACTTCAGGAAACCATCTGGGGCATAGAGTGAGAGCAAAAGAAGCATAAAATAATAAGTTGCAAAACAGAAGTTGCTGCAAAAGCTCAGCAGGTCTGGCAGCATCTGTGGAGAGAAAGCAGTGTTAATGTCTGGGGTCCAATGACCCCTTCTCAGAACCGACCGGAAACGTCAACTCTGATTTCTCTGCACAGATCCTGCCAGACCTGCTGAGCTTTTCCAGGAACTTCTATGTTTGTTTCTGATTTACAGCATCCGCAGTTCTTTCGATTTTTAAATAATAAGCTGCGTTGGTTCTTTCAGTAACAACAGCATTGATCTTTCCTGTAACATGTTGCAATGGTCTTCCTTGCAACAACTGCATTGGCTCTTTACGTTGGTCCTTCCCTTAACTGCATTGATCCTTCCCAGAACATGCTGCACTGATCATTCCTGTAACAAACTGCATTGCTCCTTTCTATAACTACATTGATCCTTCCCTCAACATGCTGCACTGGTGTACTTAGAACAGTTGCACTACTCCATTCTGTAACAACTGTTGTGCTGTTTCTTCTCCCAATTGAGTTGGTCCCTTCTGCATAATACTGCATTGGCCCTTCTCTCAACGTGCCGTGTGCTGGAGCTGCTTCTAACAACTGCATTACTCTAACTAACAAGTGAGAGTCCATCCACTGACGCAACGATGAGATAAATACGCACATTATTTTATAAACAATGAACTGGTTACGTTTTAATTCATTCAAAATCTAACATCAAAGGTAACTGACCATAAACAAGCCATGGTTTACCAACATTGCCCACGTGCTACTGTTACTATGGGAACTATTTTCGAGCAATGAACTCAGATAAATCTGCAATTCAAAGTGAGAGCTGGGACTTGCAATCTAATGGAAATTTACAAGGTAACTGTCGAACTCCGGGCATTGGGAACTTGCCCCCAGTCACTGACTTCCATTTACACCCGGAAACGTAGCGGCTTCGTGCAGGAATATACGGTATTCCCAGCAGGAATATTTGTAGGCAACAAGAATGTGAAACATTCCCAGCCAGAATGCAATGTTTAATCGCAGCAGCGGCATTCGCTCTGATCATTTAACACTGAAATGTAAACGGGTAATGAATTATATTCCCATTGGTGATAGAGGACTTGGAGAAAACACACAGGTACTGGGGAGTGTGAGGTGTTGCTTAAAAAAAAGTATGTGGATAAACAGTAACAGAAATTGTTCCATTGCTTGATCTCCGTTAGCACTTAAAACGTGAGCCAGTGTGTGTAAGTTAATGCCATTACAATGGATTTGAGGTCGTCACTCGTATCCGGGAAATGATCATTTGGGTACCGGAAGATCCCGTAATCAACGGTGATAAATGACCTGAGTCAGAGGTAGATACATTCTTGCTTGAATGAAAGATGGTCCGGGGTGGGGGCAGGTGTAGCCGTAATCTTGTTGAACATTGAGCAAGTTCGAGTGGCCTACTCCTTGCTCTTAATTCATACGTTGGTATGTTTTTAGCGACCCTTTGTCATATAGAGTCTGTGACAGCTTGTATAGAAATTCTGCCAGTGTCGCTCTCAACTCACAGTTTATTTACTTCAAGGTCCCATCCAATTTCCTTTTGAAACCATTCATGCTCGCCAGCTGTAAGTTCGCCATTAGCACTCTCTGCAGAAATAAATCCTTTCTCACAACTGACCCTCCCGTCCCCACAACCAACACCCACGTCCAGTCACCACATCTCATGTTCTAAACCTTGCATCAGTCTCCCCTCATCCTTCTATCTTCAGCTAATTGGAACTGCTTCTCCTTGTTTACCTTTCCCAAACCTTTCACCATCTTGTCCACTTCAATCAGACCTCTTCAATAGCCCAACAAGGGAGGAAAATTGACCTGGAAAACATTGGAAATTTCACACTCACCCTGAGGAGACAGTGAAACTGGCAGTTCAGGCCCTGCAGTAGATCTGGGAGCTATGACATTGGCAAGGGTGCTCCCAGGGACCAGTCACATTTCCTGGATCAAAGCATAACATCTGCCAGTAATGTCTCTACTTAAATTACCACAGCTTCTCAACACATACTGTTGCATTCATACCTCTTACAACTCCACTCTCATAAGCATCCCTGGTTGTAATCACATCACCATTGGCAGCTGCTCCTTCGGTTGCCTGGGTCCTAAGTCTCTTCCTAAACCCCTCTGCCTGACTCTCTTCCTTTAAGATAGTCCTTAAAACCAAGTCTTTGCTTGCTGTTCATCAATCCTAACATTGCCTTCAGTGACTTGGCATCAGAATTGGATAACTCCCTTGAAGCAGGTTTTGGGGGTTTCACTAAAGACAATAAAAGTTGTATTACTAAATAAAAAACGAAAGAACTGCGGAAGCTGTAAATCAGAAACAAAAACAGAAGTTGCTGGAAAAGCTCAGCAGGCCTGGCAGCATCTATGAAGAGTTAACACAATGTCCGCTGACCCTTCCTCAGAACAAGCTGAGCTTTTCTGGCAATTTCTGTTTTTGTTTTGAAAGTTGTATTACAATTTGTAGAAATACAAATCCTAGTTGATGATAATAACTCATCACTGATTCCTCAACTAGAGGCATCATCTCCTGTTTGTTGCATTATTGCACAGATCTCCGTAAAACACTATATCTTAAAAGTCAGCTAGATGGAATCATGCCATGTGACACTCTAGTATGGGAGGCCTCCACCTTACCTACAGACATACAGTGACATAATAATCTAAGTACCTATACCAGATTGTATAGGCTCTTGTGATGCAGTGGTAGTGTGACCTTTGACCTGGGTTCAAGTCCTACCCATTCCAGCAGTGTATCATAACATGTCTGAACAGGTGGACCAAAAATACCTATAAGCTAGACTGTATAATTAAATGTGATATTAGTGTCCAAAGTTAGTTGTTAATAAATGTCTACCTGACTCAATACAAACCCAAATCTATGGTGTCAGTTAAATGGGCTAACTTAGAGGTAATCATAGCACCATAAGATATAGGAGCAAAATTAGGCTATTCAGTCTGCTCCATCATTCAATCATGACTGATATGTATCTCAACCCCATTCTCCTGCCTTCTCCCCATAACCCTTGATCGCCTTGCCAATCAAGAACCTAACTATCTCTGTCTTAAGTACACTTGATGAGTTGGCCTCTACAGTCCTCTGCAGCAATGAATTCCACAGACTAATCCCCTTCATCTCAGTTCTAAAGGATTGTCCCTTCACTCTGAGGCTCCAACCTTGAGTCCTAGTCTGTCCTACTATTGGAAGCATCTCCTCCATGTCCACTCTACCCAGGTCTCTCAGTATTATGTAAGTTTCAATCAGATCCCCCTTTATCCTTCTAAACTCCATCAAGTACACACCCACATTCCTCAACTGCTACTCATATGACAAACCCTTCATTCCTGGGATCATTCTTGTAAACCTCCTCTGGAACTCCTCCAATGCCAGCACATCCTTCCTTCAATATGGGACCCAAAACTGCTCACAATATTCCAAATGCAGTCTGACCAGAGCCTTATACAGCGCTCAACAGTACATTTCTGCTCTTGTATTCTAGCCCTCTTGAAATGAATGCTAACATTGCATTTGCCTTCCAACTGTGAACTGAACGTGCATGTTAACCTTAAGAGAATCTTGAACTGGGACTGTCAAGTCCCTTTGTGCTTTAGGTTTCTGAAGCCTTTCCAATTTAGAGAATAGTCTACACTGCTATTCTTCCCGCCATAGCATAACCTTGTACTTTCCCACATTGTATTCCATCTCCCACTCCTTTGCCCACTCTTCCAGCATGTCCAAGTCCTTCTGCAGCCTCCTGGCTTCCTTAACACTATCTGTCTTTGTGTCATCTGCAAACTGATCAACAATGCCCTCAGTTCCTTTGTCCAGATCAGTAATGTATAATGTGAATAGCTGCAGTCCCAACACAGACTCCTGTGGAATGCCAATAGTCATCCACTGCCATTCTGAAAAGACCCCTTTATCCTCACTCTATGCCTTATGCCAGTCAGCCACCCCTCTATCTATTCCAGATCATATCAGAATTCACGCTATCAAAATCCTTAACAATTTGGAAACCCTTATTAAACCACCCATCAGGCTGGTACAAGCAGTCTCGGTTTGTGTCAGGCTGTCCTGATGACTTTCATGCCCCTGTTTCTGTTGGAGTCTGTGCAGTTGGAGCTTTAGAGCTTTTATGGGTCCTCTTTGTAACAGGGAAGTGAACTTGTGCAGGGGACTGTCAAACTCTAGATGCATAAGCCCAAAGCACCAAGCCAAGTGCTGACATGAGCTGGTAGTGTTCAATATGTTGAGTGGTGGACTCAATGGTCTCCTCTTTGATTTCAGTTTGTGATTCCCTTTGCGCTGGCTCTGCTGCTGCGATTTGAGTTTGGGTTACCAGAAAGACCTCTCAATTCATTGAAGGCCCTCTTCCGAGTTTTGCCGATCATCGTTCTTATAGCTGTGGTGCAGGAGAAGCACCATGGAAATGAATTCTCGCTTCGACTGTCCGCAGGGCTCAGCTTCTCTGCTGCAGGTGAGACATGTGTCAGGGTGGCAGGTGCTAATGAACATTCTAGTTCCAACTCAAGAGGTAAATGTAGGTCACGGGCCTGGAGAATTTATTGCCAAGGCTCAAGGTGTGAGGGCACTGATTCATTAGGTGTTCTCTCAGTTTAGTCAGTTGGACAGCTGGCTTGTAATGCACGGTGGTGTCAACAGTGTTGAGTTTGTTTTCTGCACTGACTGAGGTTACTATGGAGGGTTCTCCATGGTGATCCTCAGGTTAAACCACCACTAGTTTTCTCTCTCTAGTAAGGGAGCAGCCCTATGGTCTGGTAAGACCTTGGCAAATTTACTCTTCTACAGATTCATTATCTTCTCCTACAGTCTAGGCTCCATCTCTCCTGTCCTACATCCCAAAATCTCAGTTGTTTTCCGTCACTAAACCTTGCGCTCCACAATTGGCTTTAGAAACTCAACACTACATTTTCACAAGGGGAACAATATAGCTATAAAGAAGGGCTTTTGGCCTATTGTACCCATGCCAGCACTTTGAAAGAAGGGAGTTGACCTGATTTTATTGCAATATTTTTGGCTGCGGATGCGTTTAAAAGTGTCAGTGACAGTGTCTGTGCTTCCAAGATTTAAATCCTCTGTCAAAGTTGCAGATCCTAGGAAATTTAATGCCCATTACATTTTCACTGTATCATTACATTTCATCCAATCCACTCAATTTACCCAGCGGTTTTATGATTTGGTTTGTGATTGGAACAAATCCCACAATTGTTCCAATTTTAATGGAAAAGACTTTTGAATAATGAGTCAAACATGAACTGACAATCAGAGCTCAGATCAGAGGATTTAAGTTCCAGCACAGAGACCAGGCTGATATTCCTAATGTCGATATTAAGGGACTGTCGTGCTGTCGAAGGGTCAGTTCTGAGACAGGGTTGCACTATTGGAGGGTCAGTCCTGATGAAGCACTGCACTGTCAGAAGGGTCAGTTCTGAGGGAACTGTCAGGAAGTTAGTACTGAGGGAGTACTACACTGTCGGAAGGTCAGTCCTGAGGGAGCACCACATTGTCAGAAAGTTAGTACAGCAGGAATGCTGCAGTGTTGGAGAGTTAGCACTGAGGGGTCAGTAAACTGTTGGAGAATCACTACTGAGGAAATGCTATACAGTCAGAGAGTGAGGAATGGGACAGTGCTGAACAATTTGAAGGTAATTACTGAGAAAGCACTATGCTCTCAGAGGGGCAGTACGAAAAGATGAATAAATGTTGGCCTAGCCAATGAGGCCCACAATTGTGAATTAGTAAAATAGAATAAAGGGGAGTACTGAGAGAGTGCTAAAACATCCGAGGGATATAATCAGCATTTAATGTCTATCCCTATGCAGCTGAGCATCTTGGCAGGCCCATTTTTCGCAGGTGATTAAAAGTCAACTACATTGTTATGGGTCTGGTATCACATTAAGCAAGAGTGACAGATTTCCTTCCTTAAAGGGTGTTAATGAATCAACAGATTCTACAGCAATCACTTACCATTAGTTTATTGTACAGATTTATTTAATTCATTATTAGCTCCCTAGCTGGGGTTGGGAGTTCAAACTGATTTCTGGTCTTATACTGTAGACTTCTGGGCGACTGATTGCATAATGTAACCATTGTGCAAGGTACCCAACTCTGGGAGCTTGCTGTGCACAGATTAGCTGCTATTTCTCTGACATCACTACAGTGACTTCACAGCAAGGTCCTTCCTTGATTGTAAAACACTTTGGGATGTCTTGAAGTGGTGACAGGGGTTAAGTAATTGCAAGTCTTTCTACGACAGGGTCAAATCAAATGAGCCATTTTGAGTAATTGAATGAGTTTTGCGATATTTGACAGTAATTCTGCTGTGGCTCAGCTGGTCACACGGTTGAATTCAGGACCTTATGAGTCAAGGGCAAGTCCTGGCCCAGAGATTTGCGCAATAACCTGAAGGCTGTCACTGTGTGGCGTGTTGATGCAGTGCTGCACTGTCTGTGAAACCCTCTTTCCAATGAGATAATAAATAGAGATCCTGTCCATGCTTGTTCAGATGGATGGGAAAGATTCCACAAGGGAGCTCTTCCCCAATACCCTGGTCAACATTCACCCCTCAATCAACTGCACAAACAATGATGATGAAATGCTAATTATCACATTGGTGTTTGTGGGAACTAGCTGTGTGCATGTCTTCCTGTTGCCTTTTTCTATCTAACAACAACGACTGCCCTTCATTGGGTGTAAAGGATTTCTGAGATATTCAGAGTCACGAAAGTAGCAGTACTTGGTTGCAAATCTTTATTTTTAACCTTGCAGGTGACCTGTGTTATCTTTACAGACAACAATACATCATCATTGGGATCATCTGTTTCAGCATTGCCTACTGCCTGTATGCTCTGGCCTTCAAACTGAAGAATGACAATTTCCTCCTGGCATGTTTGGCATGCTTCATAGTGATTGTAGTTTATCACTTTATGACTCCCAAACTGCGTGGGCTACGGGGTCCTGCTGCAATGGTTTACATGACAACAGCCCTGCTAATGATCTGGAGGGCAATGGCTTGGTATAGAAAGTCACGGAAATACAACAGCTTGGCTGCCCTTCTAGGGGCTACCCTACTTGTGGTGTCTGAAACTGTCCTTTCCACTCACATATTCCAGTTCCCTGTCCCTCAAAATGAATTAATTGGGAGATACCCCTATTACTTAGGGCAGTTATTCATCGCTTTGGCTGCCCTTTCATAAACAGAAACAAACAAGAATCATTTACTCATTCTATTCTTTCACATTTTTGGGATGTAATTTTCATTTACTCACCCTCCCCAACCCCACTGCCCCCTGCCCCTTGTCTTCCTACGGCCACTGCTCAGCTGAAACCTCTGCTCACTGGAGGGACCAGGATGGATCAAGCTGTTCATTAACTTGTCAGAAGACGAGTCGCCAAAAGCTGCCCTTGGTCACACAGTCGGACTAAACTGGGAGAAGCTGGAGCTGCTGTTGACGTGGAGTTTTGCACCTTGCAGAGTTGCAGTCTTCACCATCTCCTCACCCCAATCCTGTCACTCCCTGTGGGATGTTGTTAGTTCCATGGTTTGTAGCAGTTTGCAGGGAGGCTCAGAGGGAGAAGATGCAATCCTCAGCCACTAAAGCCAGCTCTACTCCCCACCACCCCCCTCCCCCACCTCTGTTCATGATCTGAACCTGGAACTAGAAACTAAAAAAGGCAAGATGATTGAGGCGGAGGAGGGGGGGGCTTCTGTGCAGGTACACGTTCCCTTCCTCACACAAAAAAAATCCTACGACTCAAGACCATTGCTTTTCTAACCTGTCTGACCAAAACTAGCGAAATGCTGAGAGAGATACTTGACAATTAAATTTGAGAGGGAATAAAGTTTGGAATAACTTGCTGATTTGTGCACATCACTGTTTAATTCAGAATTGTTGTGGTGACCATTCAGCCCCTCAAGATCTGCTTCAGCTCTTCAAATGAGACCAGGTGATAACCTCTCGCTTTCTCCCCCATACCACTGCACACTGATGATATCTAAATAATCAAACAATGCCCTCTTAAAGTCTTAATTGAACCTGCCTCCATTGCACTTTCAAACAGTATATTCTTAACTCCTCGCTGAGTGCAAAACGTTTTTTCTCACCTCACAGTTTGCAAGTCATTTTAAATCAGTGTCCTCAAGCTCTTGATTCTTTTGCAAGCAGGAATTAATTTTCCCAATCTACTTCAGCCAGTCTGCTCATGAGTTTGAAAACCTCATCAGATCTCCTCAGCCTTTTTCTCTCAGTCCCAACTGAACCAGGACTTCATTAGAATACAATCAGGGAACGTTTTTTTAAAAATGGTACAACTGCCTGTAAAACTACTGCCCGCAGCTATTTCCAAACATACACAATCTTAAACCCCTCTCATTCCTTCATTACCAATAGCCCTTACTGCCTTTAGAACATGCAGTGATTCTTCCCTCTGACCACCAATCCTGATACAGAATAGCCATAATTAAGCAATCCAAGCATTAACTAGAAACACAACATGATTTGTTAGTCCAAAGCTAGAGAGTCTTGCTGAACAGAGAGACCTGTTGTTAAAGTTTCTCAGCTGCAACCATCAGGACAAATGCAAGAATGCCAAACTTAAAATCGATCAACGGCAGGACAAAGGGTGCTGATTGGTCGACAATTTGATATTGATTGGCCAAGGCCAAAAACCTCAGGAACACACCACCCCATTTAACAACATTCATAACTTTGCAAAAGATGACAACTTGCTATAAATAATCAGTCGAGGCAATGCAGGTATTCCAGGGAGTGCTGAGTAAGGATCGTGCTTCTTAATAACCTTCACATTAAAGCATTTCACTGAGAAAGGGACTAGAAACAATTGGATATTCATTTATAAAAATGGGGGAGGGCAGAAAAAAATTTTTTTAGCAGACATTCTGATCTACCAGCATGCCGAGGATATCCATTAATCAGAATCTTTCAATTCACTAATGACTTGAAATCTGGCACAATGCATGTGACATTTTATTCAAAAATAACAACCAGACTGCAACAAATAGGAGCAGGAATTTGGCTGTTCAGCATCTCAAAGTTGCTTGGACAGATCAAGGCTGTACTGTCAGAGGGTCAGCGCTGAGGGAGCATTGTACTAGAGTGTCAGTACAGAGGGAGTGCTGCACTGTCAGGTTTATACTGTAGGAGAGAACCTTATAGGAATCTGTCAAATATTTTCTGCATCAGACAGTATATTCGTTTTAAACAGAGAGGTTAAACAGGGAAATAAATCTTGGGAATATGTGAAGTTTCAGAGGTTTCTAATTTCAGAACTGTTGGTGGAAAGCTGTCTGCAGTTACAATCAAAGGGTTTTGATGTGTTGAGTTCTCATAATCAACTGTTCGTTCATGAAACTGGCCACAGGAATCTAAACATCAATAGAATTATTAACATATGACTAAGATTAAAAGCAAAATTTGTTTTAAGGTAATATTTTACAGATTATCTGAAACATCCACCATCCAAATGCTTTAATTCACTTTCAGTATGGCAATAAACCTTTGTTCTTTTTGTTAACAGTCACTGAGTTCCTTTATTCATGTCCTTTTAGTCAGAGTGTGGGTGGTTTGGAGTTTTGTTTTAAAACTATCAGTGAGTTGAAAGCTCCCAGCCCTTTGGAGTAATAGATTTGCAAATATTGAATGAAAACATTTTCCCCCTAAGTTTCAGATATAAAGCAGAAACTGTAAACTGCATGAAATGGCTTCATCACCTTGTATTTTAATACAACTGAAAAGATTGTTAATCTGTATCTAAATGCTATACATAAATAAACTTAGCATTTTCATATTTTCTTACAATGCTCATTAACATTTCTAGATTATGAATGGATTCAAAGCATGCTGTAAATAAATTCAAACGATGTCAAAAGCCACGTCATGTTCAGAAAGGGGAAAGAAACCGTTGCAAAGCACAAGGTGAAAACTGATTAAAAATCAGATAATTTTATAAAGGAAAAGAAAGCAGGAAAAAAAAAGTGTGATCTTTAAAGCTCATGAACTGACCAGTGATGTCTCCAGTACATTAAGCTCTGTCTTACCGAGTCTGCTAAAATTATCACAGGGGAGAAGAATAGGCAGTTTATTAGGTTCAGTGTCTGTGATCATATTTTTACACCCTCACTATCCTCTACGTGTTAAAACATTTTGACTTAACACATGTAGCAGCAAACAGGGTCAGTGTTAGAGTCCATTCCCCTACCCTGATCAACATCCCTTAACCTCTGCATTATTTTGAACTCAAGTCACTGAGAAAATTTATGGTCCCTTTTACCAGCAAACACCGACCTCCATCCCTCCCTTTCTACTTCAAGGAAGTATTATATATGAGCCCAAAGACAATCAGGTGACCTCATACAATTAAACACTTCTGCACTCTTTCTACATTTCACATTGAAGATGTGAAAGCAAAGATCTGACTCAGAAGCTAAAGGTGATAGAAGCAACATGTAAAAAGTATTCCCGACTGCTTCTTACGTGTGACAAATGCAGTAAAACACTACTGACTGCTACAGACAGTGTAACACTAACTCATACTAACTTGTAACTAACACTGTGTAACATTAACTGCTACTGACCTATAACTAATGTAGTGAAACTCTAACTGTTTCTGACCTGTAATTAACAGTGTAGCACTGTCACTGACCTGTAAAACTAATGTAGTGAAACACTTTTACTGACCTGCAACTGACACAGTGTAGCATTTTTACTGACCTGTAATTAACGCAGTGTTACACTAACTCCTGCTGACCTGTAACTGAACATGCTAAAGAATTCAGGACAGAAATGGTAAAGGAAACGTGGGAGTTGAGGGAGGGAGTAAGAGAGGAGAGGATGACAGAGAAATAAATAACCCACTGTATAAAATATCCATAAACAAACATTTTAATTAAAATTCCCACATGCTCTTTCCTTTGAAGAATCTCTTTTAACAGGAACTGTTCTGGTTCTGGCATGTGTATGGCAAAAACACTACTGCCACTTCAAACCTGCAATCTCTACATTTCGCTAACGGATGGTTGGTTTTCATTCGCTTCTGATTAAATACTTTCTGAGGGAAAGACCTTGCCACTTGCGTTCCACTCTGGGCCTGTGCTTCTATTTAATAAAGACAGATAGAGTTGAAGTCTGAAATGTACTGAGCTACGTCCTTAGGGATTTCCCGTGTGGTGACAACAACTCCAGCCCTGACTGCAACCATAAGCTCCAGCGAGATGGATGGCAGTGCGTCGCTTTATCAATCACAACTTCAAAATCCAAACATAAATCCTTTATCTCCTGAGGTTATTGTTCCCCAGCCAAATTCAAAGTTTTAGTAAGAACACACCTGTCTTACTGCGTTCTGGAAAATGCTTTTCAGCCCTCAAGCTCCACAAAGATCCACCAATAATTTGGGATCCCCACACACACACACATGCAATCAACAGCAACTCAATTTCTCACTGTGCATTTCCACAACAGTACCAGCACAGTCCCACAAGGCAAGAGCTTAGTAACACTGGAACTACATGCAAGGCAATGTCATGCAATGTCGCCATCATTCACAACTTGGAAACTACAGATGGACATTAAAACTGCTGCCATTGTGAAGAGTTACAAGCTGACTGACTAGCTGTTGGACTGGGTCTGTATTATTCTTCTACAGTCACCCTATAGTTAGACAAGCGAGAGCTAAACCACTGACAGGTTGCTTACAATATGGTAGCTCCATAGAAATCCAGCCATTCTCTTTACTCTCAATCTTCTTCAACTTTCCAAACAAGACCAATAAACAAGCTGATCTTTCATCAAAACAGGGAAAAGTTATAAATAATAGACTTCAAGCAATAGTTTTCAAGTGAAAAGGTTGGTGTGAATTTAGGGGAATGGGAGCGGAAAATAAACAGAAGGGGAGGTTTGATACGGGTACAAGACTGAAGACACTGAATGATAAAGGGGGTGGGATTCCAAAGGGAATCGTAATGTGACAAGAAACAGAACTACTCCATTACTTTCCACATCACCATTCCTTCTGGCTTGGAAACCTCTTGTCATTTAATTGCTGCCGTCTTCCAGCCCATCCCAAATCTATCCTTTTTTTTTCATAGAAATCATAGAATCCCTACAGTGTGGAAACAGGCCCTTCAGCCCAACAAGTCCACACCAACCCTCAGAGCATCCCACCCAGACCCATCCCCCTTTAATCCCCCTAATCTAGGCATCCCTTGGACACTATGGGTAATTTAGCATGGCCAATTCACCTAACCTACACATCTTTGGACTGTGGGGGCAATCGGAGCACCTGGAGAAAACCCACGCAGACACAGGAAGAATGTGCAAACTCCACACAGACAGTCACCCGAGGGTGGAATTGAACCCCGGTCCCTGGTGCTGTGAGGCTGCAGTGCTAACCACTGAGCCACCGTGCTGCCCAGCTAAAACCTGTTTCTTTCCAAACTTTTCCCTGTTCTAATGAAAGGTCACCGACTCAAAAACGTTAACTCTGTTTCCTGTTGCTGGGCAGGCTTGGCTATCCCCAGCATCTGCTGAATTTCTGCCCTTCTTCTGACTCAGATCTCGATCTTTCACCCTATTCAAATGTCCTCACAACAAATGAGATATCATCACTGAGCGTTTTTGGCTTTTAAAGATCACACAAGGTTTGTGCAGTGACGTTAAAGCAGAAAGAGCCCATATAAAACAGTACAAACAGTACAAAAAATGCTCCATTATTTACTTAAAAGATACAATTCCTAAACTACATTAAAAAAAAAGTTCCATTTGTATTTGCAAAGAGTAAGTGAATACATGCTGATGGTCAGACCTCAACTCTGGCTCTTCAAATGAAGCAGCAATGCCCTCACAGCAGCTTCCTCACTAAAGCTTGTGTTGAGCAGTTCAGAGTGAGTTGCAGCAACACAGGGTCGAGGTAATTGTTTTCTGTTATACCTCGGAGAGGCTGCTGAGAAAAGTTAGTCCCTCAGATGGTAGCAGCACCTGACAAGAACAGACAGTTAACCCTAACTTGACAGAACTCCCGTTTTTAAAAAAAAAGTACCTGCATGAAGGATTGAAATGTGATGTTTCTCTCCGACTGCTGCTCTTACTGGGGAACACGGTTTGCTGAGCATACAGTTCAGACAGACAGGCAAAGTCCTGAGAAACTTCCCCCTCCCTCGCAGACCGGTTTAGGCAAATGACCTCTTAATGCAACTCAAGACAGACATCAGTAACACCTTCTCACGCAAAGAATAAAACGGTTAAAAATCTACTTTCCTGGTATCAAGCCAGAGATCGGGGCAACAAAAACAGCTGTCCGAGCTCCGACACATGGAAATAACTTTGGAATCCATCTCAAAGTGAGATTCCTGTACCAACAAGGCTGTGGCCTGTTGAACGTGGAGTTTTTGTATGCGGCTGTTAGGGTCTTTTTTGATGAAGAGTGGAGGTTCTGAATCAGCACTACATCTTTTGGAGAAGGATAGTGAGGGGGCGAAGTGGGGAGAAGGGTGAACAGAAGTTGCCAGAGAGAAGCTGACGGTGTTTAGCGCTTTGTAATTCTTTGGCAAAAGATTAAGGAGCCATTGGAGCAGGTTTCCCAGTGCAGGGGATGACTAGAACCGTGCCTGGCAGACAAAACTCCGAGCTTCTGAAGAATGCTTCGTGATTTTGTGAGGGCATCGAACTGTCGTCCAACCAAGATTAGGCTTTGTATTTTTTACCAGTTCTGGAGATCTGATGGAACAAAGTCATTGAGAAAGCCATTCCAAGGATCTGAAAGAGAATGGAACAGAACTAAGTAAGTTGAGAGAAGCCACACAAGAGTTTACACTGGAATTCCCATTTCTGTTATCAAAATTCTGTCTTCCCCAGTACAAGCCCTCCAGCGCCAATGGGAATAGTGTGCAGTGAGAAAACAAATCACTAAGAGTATAAATACTTGTCAAGAGTTGGAAGACACATCAGAAGGGCTGGGAACAAAACAAAAACATTTACATGTAATGATCAGGGTCACTCAGAGTCTGTGGTCAGCAAATTATCCGGAACATCTGAAATTGAAAGTTATCTAGAATGGCAAAAGCTTAATAGAAGTGTTTTAAAAAAGACCAAGTGAATTCACCATTGACTTTTTCTTTATTCTTTTGTGGGATGTAGGCGTTGCTAAGGCCAGCATGTACTGCCCGTCCCTAATGGGAAGAGTGTCATGCTTAGCCCATTTCAGAGGGCAGTTAAAAGCCAACTGTGTTGCTGGGGTTTAGGCTCACATGTATAGCAGAGCAAGTAAGGACGGCAGATCTCCCTCCCTAAAGGGCACTGCGTTTTCCATCATCGCCATCATGGAGCATAGCTTTCAAATTCAGAGTTTTATTAACTGCATTTAAATGGCATCACTGCCATGATAGGATTTGAACAATGTCCTGAGGTGACCAGCTTGGGCCTCTGGGTTACAGGTTGAGTGGATTTGCTGCCACAGCATCATCGTCCATTTGGCTGTTCACACAGGTCAGTTGAGAGTAAAGGGTCAGGAACATTTGTACAAGTGGAAGCTAGGTTTGACGTCAGGAGATTCCTGTTCTAATGCAAACAGCTGTCAACTCTTGGAACCAGAAGGATGCAGCACAGGAAGTGACCATTCGGCCCATTTTGAGATGGCTACCCCATTCCTTTGCTCAGGGCCCACTGTCCTCCAAACCTTTGCTTTCTTGATACACATCCAATTCCCTCTTGAAAGTCACCATTGAATCTGATGCTTAATGAAATTTTCAGCTTCGCTCCAGTTCTCTTGCTGATTATCATTAACCCACGTCCTCCAGTTACCATTCCTCCTGCCACCCAGACCAACTTTCTCCATCAAAATACTTCACCTTTTTCAACAGCCTGACCAATTCTCCTGGTTGGAATTCTCCGCTCCAAGGTGAACTTCACCAGTCTTTGTGTCGTGAACATTTCTCATCCCTTTTCTCTCTTTTCCTTACCACACCGAAGAGATCATCTTTCCAACAAGATGCACGCTCTGCTTCCTCGACCAATCTTCATCAAAGCCGATGACCAGCCAACTCTCCCTCCTATCTCTCAGGTGAACTATGATAGTTAATGATCCTCCATCCTCATGCCCTCCCCTTTGAAAACTGCCACCATCACCTTTTTCCTCTTAAATCAGGCCCTTGACCGCTCCATCCTTAAGAACGCCCATCTAAATTCCAATCCCCCCAACTTTCCTGCTGCCACTTCCCAAATAAAGCACAATCTTTCCAAAGGTTGAAAATCCCTTGATTGAGTTTCCAGCCCTGTCACTGCACTGAAACAGCCTGCCACAATGGAGTATTTGTGCACGTTTGAATTTAATTTTCTGTCGCTCCAGTCGGACGTCGGAGGCCCTTCAATGGTGTTGACCAACCGTACAGACTAGCTCCCAACCTCATCGTCCCTCACACTGGAGCTATCCCTTTATAGCAAAGACCCCACAAGCCACTTTCAGGTATAACTCCCCCATGGACGTATCGGTGTCCAAATGTTGGAAATTCTAAGTGAAGTGAAGATTTACAGATACTTTCCCGGAAGTGGACTCAGAGGAGCAGGGTGGGCACTGCTGCCATCTAACGCATGGGCAATGAGTCAAACAGGGAAGGTCATTCTGCCCTCTCCAACAGGACAGCAGTCGATTGTTATAAAAGTGTGAATCCATCCTCCTGATGGTGCTTTGAAATTCGGAAACCGGTCTTGCTAAGCTCACTTTGCTTGAATCAATTTAAAGGATGCAGGAAAGCTGCCACGTTGCTGATTGAATCAAGCCAACAAAAGATATTTCACGAAGAATAAAAGGGGAAGGTGTCAGGATTGATCAAAGAAACTGGTTCGAAGATTTAACAAGATGATATATGAGCGAGAGGCTCCTCTGTCTGGTTACGATTAAAGAATGCTGTTACATCCCAAGTACGTGTTATACTACAGATCACCAAATAGCGGAAAAGAGATACAGAAATTGCAGACAGATGTAGGAATTAAATCAAACTGATAATAGGGGACCTGAACTGCCCAGATAAAACCAGGATAGTCACAGTTGAAAGAGTAAAAGAGAAGCAGGAACCCCTGAAACGTATACAAGAAAATTTGGTCGGCCTATTTCTCAGGATGTCCTGTGGTGTAGTGGGATAGAAACGATAGGCTCGTTGGCTTACTGACCATGGGAGGTTATAAAACAGCTAAACAGGTTGCGATTGTCGGTCTGCACATCCTCCCAAACCATCAGGTGGTAGGAAAAACAGAACCAAAGAAACTGCGGATGCTATAAATCAAAAACAAAAACAGAAATTGCTAGATTAGCTCAGCAGGTCTGGCAGTACCTGGAGAGAAATCAGAGTTAATGTTTCGGGTTGAGTGACCCTTCCCTTTGTTGGGTAAAAGAAGGAGAATCTCCTGGTCAGCCCTCCTGCCGAAGGAAATACCAAACCACTGCACTACTTTGCCCATTAGCGTGGACCAGACCAAACGACACCCATGGCCCAACCCCTGAGGATGAGAGAAAGGGCACAAGGCAGGCAGATCGTTACAGGGGAGTTGACGGCTTAGTCCCATGGATGGAGAGTCAGGCGTTGCTCGAGGCCTGGCCTGCAGTCATTCTGGTCAAAATAGGTCACTACAGGATGTCCAGCCTTCACGGGAGAGGAAGTCGCACCCTCAGATGCTGCTGGCCAACCTGATTGGCCAGCAGCTCCATCATGCCCAACAGCACCAGAGCTCAGCAGTGGGTACTACTGGTAGTGCGGGAAAAAGTCCAAGGAGAATCATGGCTGCCCCAAAAGAAGGTAAAACCCTGGGGTTCCATGTTTGAGGAGGAATTGTAGAGTTGGGGGTGGGGTGGGGGGGTGGTGAAGGTGGGAGTGATTGGACTCCGTCAGGTATCCCCTGAATGTGAGCTGTCCCCTTGCTTCCCAACTTTGTGCGCACGAGTGTTTAAAGGGGACCGCATTTATGAGTTATTTATTGTCACGTATCTAGAAACATACAGTGAAAAGTGCTTTGTCACCACAATCCAGCACCATTTTGAGTTACAAAAAGAATAAAAAGAAATTACTTAAACAGATTTCATCCTCTGTATAAGGGGTCTTCAAACACGGCTTCTGCAAGGTGTCCCAGACCCCAGACCTGCTCAGGGTACAGCACAATAAGCCCAGCTTCAGGCTTACTGCAGCCAGGTAAGGGGATCAATTGAACTTTCAATTAGCTCAATCGAGACTTATTAGCTGCATTTATAATTGAGGACTTAGCACTGATCCCTGTCACACTCCACTAGTTATAACTTGGGAGTAACCCAGGAGGAAACTGCGGCCCACTTAACCTAACATCGATCATGGGGAAGGTTCTAGAATCCAGTATTAACACAGTTATATAACAAGATGCTTAAAAATCTCAGGTAGAATCAACATGGCTTTGTGGAAGGGAAATTGTGTCTAACAAATTTGTTGGAATTTTTTTTTGGATGAAATAACATTTCTGGTGGACTGAAGGGAATGGATAAATGATTTGTACCTGGATCTCCAGAAGGTATTTGATAAGGTACTGCCATTAAAGATGGCTGTACAAGCAAAGTCATGGTGTAGGAGTCACAAATTAGAATGGATAAAGCAATAATTAGCAAACATGAAGCAAAGATTAGGGATAGATTGGTGATTTTTTGGTTGGTAAACTGTAACTAGTGGAGCACCACAGAGTTCAGTTTCTGGGTCTCGAACTACTTAAAATCTTTATCAATGTCTCTTATTGAAGATGATCAATCTAATCATCTTACTGAAACATGTATAAGATCTTGAGGGTACAGGAATAGGGTGGATGCTGTTTCCTCTTCTGGTGAGACAAGAACAAGCGAATTTGTTTAAGAATGAGCTATTTTTTAAGGCAGAAATGGAGATAATATGTTTGTCTCAGAAGGTTGTCCAAGTGTGGAATTTTCTTCCCCAGAAGGTAGTTGGAGGCTGGCTCATTACATCTATTCAAGGCTGCGTTAAGTAGATCTTTTACAGACAAGTTATAAGGAGGTGGTCACACCCAAGGTACAGGAAAAAGGTAGCTGGGTGACTGTCAGGAGGGGGAAAGGGAACAGGCAGACAGTGCAGGGATCCCCTGTGGCCGTTCCCCTCAATAATAAGTATACTGTTTTGGATACTGTTGTGGGGGGGAATGACCTACCAGGGGAAGGCCATAGCGGACAGGTCTCTGGCACTGAGCCTGACCCTGTGGCACAGAAAGGAAGGGGGGAGAATAGGAGAGCAATTGTAGTGGGGGATTCAATAGTAAGAGGCACAGACAGGCGGTTCTGTGGACGCAAACGAGATGAAAAGATGGTATATGGTGAGTGTAGGTAGGGAGTTAGGAAGGGGATAGGTCAGTCCAGGGAGGACGGACAGGTCAAGGGGGCGGGATGAGGTTGGTCGGTAGGAGATGGAGGTGCGGCTTGAGGTGGGAGGAGGGGATAGGTGGGAGGAAGAACAGGTTAGGGAGGCAGGGACGAGCTGGACTGGTTTTGGGATGCAGTAGGGGGAGGGGAGATTTTGAAACTTGTACCACCCCACCAACCTCCGGATCCAACGCATCATCCTCCGACACTTCCGTCATCTGCAATCCGACCCCACCACCAAAGACATCTTTCCCTCCCCACCCTTATCTGCTTTCCGGAGGGACAACTCTCTCCGTGACTCCCTTGTCCGCTCCACACTCCCCTCCAGCTCCACCACACCCGGCACTTTTCCCTGCAACCGCAGGAAGTGCTACACCTGCCCCCATACCTCCTCCCTCACCCCCATCCCAGGCCCCAAGAAGACTTTCCACATCAAGCAGATGTTCACCTGCACATCTGCCAATGTGGTATACTGCATCCGCTGTACCCGGTGTGGCTTCCTCTACATCGGGGAAACCAAGCGGAGACTCGGGGACCGCTTTGCAGAACACCTACGCTCGGTTCGCAACAAACAGCTGCACCTCCCAGTCGCGAACCATTTCAACTCCCCCTCCCATTCCTCAGACGACATGTCCATCCTGGGCCTCCTGCAGTGCCACAACGATGCCACCCGAAGGTTGCAGGAACAGCAACTCATATTCCGCTTGGGAACCCTGCAGCCCAATGGTATCAATGTGGATTTCACAAGTTTCAAAATCTCCCCTCCCCCTACCGCATCCCAAAACCAGTCCAGCTCGTCCCTGCCTCCCTAACCCGTTCTTCCTCCCACCCATCCCCTCCATCTCCTACCGACCAACCTCATCCCGCCCCCTTGACCTGTCCATCCTCCCTGGACTGACCTATCCCCTTCCTAACTCCCTACCTACACTCACCTTTACTGGCTCCATCCCCGCCTCTTCGACCTGTTTGTTTCCTCTCCACCTATCCTCTCCTCTATCCCTCTTCTATCCGCCTCCCACCCTCTCCCTATTTATTCCAAAACCCCCTTCCCCTCCCCCTTTTCTGATGAAGGGTCTAGGCCCGAAACATCAGCCTCTCTGCTCCTATGATGCTGCTTGGCCTGCTGTGTTCATCCAGCCCTGCACCTTGTTGTCTCGGATTCTCCAGCATCTGCAGTTCCTACCATCTCTGAAAAGATGGTATGTTGCCTCCCGGGTGCCAGGGTCCATGATGTCGCGGATCATGTCTTCAAGATACTTAAGGGGGAGGGTGAGCAACCAGCAGTTATGGTACACATCAGTACCAATGACATAGGTAGAAAAAGGACTGAGAATGCGAAAAACGAGTACAGGGAGTTAGGTTGGACGCTGAAGTCCAGGACAAACAGGGTAGTTATCTCTGGATTACTACCAGTGCCACGTGATAACGAGGTAAGAAATAGGAAAAGAGTGCAGCTAAACACGTGGCTACAGGGCTGGTGTAGGAGGGAGGGCTTCCATTATGTGGGTAATTGGAGCACATTCTGGGGAAGGTGGGACCTGTACAGTAAGGACGGGTTGCACCAGAACCGGAAGGGCACAAATATCCTGGGAGGGAGGTTTGCTCGAGCTGTACGGGATGATTTAAACTAGTTTGGCAGGGGGTGGGGAACCGGATTTATAATTCAGAGGATGAGGTATTCAGCCTTCCAACAGACACAACAGGGAGTGAGGTTGTTAATAAAGAAATGCGGTCGATGGAGCGTAATTGCGGACACCGAGATGGTTTGAGGTGTGTATACTTCAATGCTAGAAGTATCAGAAATAAGGCAGAAACTTAGAGCATGGATGGGTACTTGGAATTACGACGTTGTGGCCACGACAGAAACTTGGGTAACTCAGGGAGAAGAATGGTTGTTGGAAGTTCTGGGATTTAGATGCTTTAAAAGAAATAGGGAGGGTGGAAAAAGAGGCAGGGGAGTGGCATTGCTAGTCAGGGCTAGTATAGCAGCTACTGAAAGGCAGTTCGAGAATGATATGTCTACAGAGTCAGTTTGGGTGGAGGTCCAGAACAAGAAAGGAGCAGTCACTTTGTTGGGGGCTTTTTACAGACCCCCTAATAGTGGCAGAGAAGTAGAGGAGCGGATTGGGAGGCAGATACTGGAAAGGTGCAGAAGTCACAGGGTTGTAGTCATGGGTGACTTCAACTTTCCAAATATTGATTGGAAACATTTTAGTTGTAATAGTTTAGATAGAGCAGATTTTGTCCACTGTGTTCAGGAAGGATTCCTGACACAGTATGTAGATAGACCAACCCAGGAGAGGCCACTTTGGATTTGGTGCTTGGCAATGAACCGGGCCAAGTGTTAGACCTGTTGGTAGGAGAGCATTTTGGCGGTAGCGATCATAACTCTGTTACTTTTACAATAGTCATGGAAAAGGATAGGTACATACAGCAGGGTAAAGTTTATAATTGGCAGAAGGGTAATTACAATTCTGTTAGGCAAGAACTGGGTAACATAAATTGGGAACAGATGCTGTCAGGGAAGAGCACTATTGAAACGTGGAGATTGTTTAAGGAATGCATACTGCGTGTGCTCAATATGTTTGTCCCTAGTTGGCATGGAAGATGCAGTCGAGCGAGGGAGCCTTGGTTCTCGAGAGAGGTCGAACGACTGGTTAAGAGGAAGAAGGATGCTTATGTAAGGTTTAGGAAACCAGGATCGGAAAAGGCTCTAGAGGAATACAAGTTATCCAGGAAGGAGCTGAAGAAAAAGCTTAGAACAGCTATAAGGGGGCATGAGAAAACCTTGATAGATAGGATCAAGGAAAACTCCAAGGCTTTTTACACATACGTGAGGAATAAGAGAATGACCAGAGAAAGGGTAGGGCCGATCAAGGATTGTAAAGGGAATTTGTGCACGGAGCCTAAACAGATAGGAGAGGTCCTTAATGAATACTTTTCGTCGGTATTCACAACTGAGAGGGACGTAGTTGTAGAGGAGGAGAGTGTGAAACAGGCTGGTAGGCTAGAGGAGGTCGACATTAGTAAGGAGGATGTGCTAGGAATTTTGAGGAAGTTGAAGATAGATAAGTCCCCTGGGCCTGATGGGATTTATCCAAGGATTCTATGGGAAGCAAGGGAAGAGATCGCAGGGCCTTTGGCGATGATCTTTTTGTCCTCACTGTCCACGGGTATAGTGCCGGAAGATTGGAAAGAGGCAAACGTCATTCCCTTGTTCAAAAAAGGGAACAGGGATAACCCCGGAAATTACAGGCCAGTCAGTCTTACATCAGTGGTGGGGAAATTATTGGAAAGGGCTCTAAGAGTCAGGATTTATGATCACTTGGAAAGGCACAGTTTGATTCGTGATAGTCAGCATGGATTTGTGAGGGGTAGATCATGCCTCACAAACCTTACTGAGTTCTTTGAAGAGGTGACCAAACACGTGGATGAAGATAAAGCAGTGGATGTGGTATACATGGATTTAAGGAAGGCGTTTGATAAGGATCCCCATGGTAGGCTCATGCAGAAGGTAAGGAGGCATGGGATAGGGGGAAATGTGGCAGATTGGATTCAGAATTGGCTGACCCTTAGAAGACAAAGGGTGGTAGTGGATGGAAAATATTCATCATGGTTTTCACTTACGAGTGGCGTACCACAAGAATCTGTTCTGGGTCCTCTTCTATTTGTGATTTTTGTAATGATTTGGATGAAGGAATGGAAGGGTGGATTAGCAAGTTCGCGGACGATACAAAGGTGGGTCGCGTTGTGGACAGTGCGGAGGTTACAAAGGGACATTGATAGAATGCAGAGCTGGGCTGAGAAGTGGCAGATAGAGTTTAACCCTGAAAAATGAGGTGATTCATTTTGGAAGGACAAACTTGAAAGCAGAGTACAGGGTTAATGGAAAGATTCTTGGCAGTGTGGAGGAGCAGAGGGATCTTGGGGTTCATGTTCACAGTTCCCTGAAAGCTGCCACCCAGGTGGAGAGAGTTGTTAAGAAGGTATATGGTGTGTTAGCTTTCCTTAATAGAGGGATCGAGTTCAAGAGCCATGAAGTTATGCTCCAGCTATACAAAAGCCTGGTTCGGCCACATCTGGAGTATTGTGTCCAGTTCTGGTTGCCTCATTACAGGAAAGATGCAGAAGCATTGGAAAAGGTACAGAGGAGATTTACCAGGATGTTGCCTGGAATGGAGGGAAGGTCTTACGAGGAAAGGTTGAGAGAGCTAGGGCTTTTCTCTTTAGAACGACGAAGGATGAGAGGTGACTTGATATTGGTGTACAAAATGATCAGAGGTATAGATAGAGTGGACAGCCAGAGACTTTTTCCTAGGGTGGAGGTAGCTATTACGAGGGGACATAGTTTTAAAGTGAGTGGAGGTAGATACAGGGGAGATGTCAGAGGTAGGTTCTTTACTCAGAGAGTGGTAGGGGCATGGAATGCATTGCCGGAGAGGGTAGTGGAGTCGGTCTCATTAGGGGCATTTAACTAGCTATTAGATAGGCACATGGATAATAATATAAGGTAGGGGTGGAGGTTAGATAGACCTTAGGATTAGGGTAAAAGTTTGGCACAACATCGTGGGCCGAAGGGCCTGTACTGTGCTGTACTGTTCTATGTTCTAAAACCAGGCTAAACATGATCTTAACAAATGATGGAACAGATTCAATGGGCTGAATGGCCATACCACTGCTCCTATGTTCCTATTAAAGATGTAGAAATTAAAATGCAACAGATAATGGAAGCTTACGAAAACTGTTAACCTCATCATGCAGTAGAGAACCAAGTTTTAAACCAAGAAAGTAAGACAAAGGAATTTTTTGAGGTGCTGAATAAACATTTTGCATCTGTCTTCATTATAGAAGAGGATATTGCCATAAGAACAGTAGAGAAGTGTTCTACCATATTAGATAACTTAAAAATAGATAAGGAAGAAATGCTTAAAAGGTTGGCAACGGTCAAAGTTAGAGAATTCACCCAGACCAAATGGAATGCGTCTTTCATTACTGACTGAAACAAGGGTAAAAATTTGCTCAACTTCCAGTTACAATCTTCCAATTGTTCTTCAATTGGAGTGTTGTGTCAAAGGATTGGAGGATTGCAAATCTTACAGCTGCTCATAGCCGTTGGAAAAACACTGTACCTGAATCACCACAATGGACATCACTATCGAGCCAATCACAGCTGTTTGCTTCTCAAGCAATGACTCAATAGTATCGTAGCAACCCTAAAACAGAGAGAGTGAGAGAGAGAGAGGGGCTTTTAGACTCACTGAGCAATCAGCAAACCATTACTGGGGAATGTTAGCATACCAGAGTATCAAGCACCTACCTGCACAAACCACTTGCTGGGATTGTTCTCTCCACACCCTTTGCTGTATTCCTGACAGCAGGAATCAGGGACTTTGTTACCACCCAGTATGCTATCCCAATCAGTCGTGTTGTCAACACCACAGCACTCATACTGCGAAAAAGAGAGAGAGACAGAGAGAGATGCATACATTACTGTAAAGTACTGAACTACAAGGTAGGCAGAAAAGGACTATGTGAGAGAGAGAGAGAAAGCGGGGGCAGAGAAAGAGAGAGGAAGGAGGGGGAGGGAGAGAGAGAGAAAGAGAGTGGGGGGGGAGAGAGAGAGCGCGAGCGGTGGGCAAAGAGAGAGAGAGAGCGCGAG